TCTTATAACAGTAAAAAAAGATTATTTTTTTTTTAAATCCAAACTATTGTGACACCAGATCTAATTAGTGGCACTTGTCAGCGTATCCACTGTTAGCGTAACACACCCGCTTTAAGGACACTGACTGCTATTCAATCTATAACAGTGAAAAAAGTGTTTTGTTTTTAAATCCAAGCTATTGTGACACCAGATCCAATTGGTGGCACTGGTCACCGTATCCACTGTTAGCGTAACACACCCGCTTTAAGGACACTGACTGCTATTCAATCTATAACAGTGAAAAAGTGTTTGTTTTTTTTAAATCCAAGCTTTGTGTCACCAGATCTAAGTGGTGGCACTGGACTGGGGAAATGGGCACAGTATGCACTGTGAGCCTGACACAGAAGCTGGCAGCAGTGGCAGACAACCGACTGCTATTCAATCTATACCAGTGAAAAAGTTTTTGTTTTAAATCCAAAGCCATTGTGACACCAGATGTAATTGGTGGCACTGATCAGAAATAAGTACGTATATAATCGTGAGCCTGACACAGAAGTGCTGGCAAAGCAGTGGCAGACAACTGACTGCTATTCTATCTATAAAAGTGAAATAAGTTTTTTGTTTTAAATTCAAGCTATTGTGACCACCAGATATAAGTGGTGGCACTGACTTGGGAAATGGGCACAGTATCCGCTGTGAGCCTGACACAGAAGCTGGCAGCAGTGGCAGACAACTGACTGCTATTCAATCTATAACAGTGAAAAAAGTTTTTTGTTTTTAAATCCAAGCTATTGTGACACCAGATGTAATTGGTGGCACTGACTGGGGAAATGGCACTGTGAGCCTGACACAGAAGCTGGCAGCAGTGGCAGACAACTAAGTGCATTTACATTAGATAGAAAAAAAAAATCCAAAAAAAGCATACCCTTATCCCCAACCTAGCTATGCTTTTCCCTATCTTATGAACAGCAGCTACACTTTCCCTCCTCTTACTAAGCATGCAGCTTGAGAATGAATCTAAAATGGATGCCGTCCAGTAGGTGGGAGGGTCTGCTAGGGAGGCTGTGCTGCTAATTGGCTGGAATGTGTCTGCTGACTGTGAGGTACAGGGTCAAAGTTTACTCAATGATGACGAATAGGGGGCGGGTCGAACCGCGCATATGTTCGCCCGCCGTGGCGAACGCGAACATGCTATGTTCGCCAGGAACCGTTCGCCGGCAAACCGTTCGGTACATCACTAGTCAGTTTATGTAATTTCAGTCCTGCTAGATATTCAGCGTTCAACTGTAAGTGTTATCATTGGAAAGTGAAAGTGTTTAAGAATGCCAGAAAGTCCACAAAGTCGAAGACCACATAAAGTCACAAAAGGGAGTCAACGAGTTCAGATGTGCGTAAAAGTCGCCAATGCTCTGCTGATTCCATAGCTGAAGAGTTCCAAATTGGCATTAATATCAGCACAAAAACTGCATGATGGGAGCTTCACGGAATGGGTTTATATGGCTGAACAGCTGCATGCAAGCATCAAATCACCAAGTACAATGCCAAGCGTTGGATTGAGTAGTGTAAAGCACAACGCCACTGGATTTTGGAGCTCTGTGTAGTGATGGATCGGAACATGGTTCTCTGTTTTGTAGTATGATGGGTGAGTGTGGGTTTGGCGGTTGCAAGGAGAACGTTACATGCCTGACTGTATTTTGTCAACTGTAAAGTTTGGTGGAGAAAGGCTAATGATATGGGGCTGTTTTTCATGGGTTGGGCTAGTCCAGTGAAGGGAAATTGTAATGCTTCAGCATACCAAGTCAATTTGGACAATGTTATGCTTTCAGCATTATCTAAACAGTTTTGGGAAGGTCCCTTTCTATGCCAGCATTACTGTGCTCCAGTGCACAAAGCAAGGTTCACAAAGATATGGTTGTATGAGTTTGGTGTGGAACTTGACTGGCCCGCACAGAGTCCTGACCAAAACCGCATCAAACACCTTTGGGATGAACTGGAACAGAGATTAAGAGCCAGGTCTTCTTATTTAACATCAGTGTCTGACCTCACAAATTTTCTACTAGATGAATGGGCAACAATTCCCACAGTAACACTCCAAAATCATGTGAAAATCCTTAAAGGAGAGGGGAAGCCATTATAGCTGCAAAGGTGGGGACTAACTACATATTAATGTCTATGAATTTATAATGAAATGTTAAAAAAATAAATCACTGTTGGTGCAATGGTCAAGTGTCCCAATACTACAATATATATTACAATATAGAATTCTGGGATCCAGCTGTGGTAACTACAAAATAACAAAAAAACAACACATAGCACAATACTGTGTGAAATTAATTTGCAGAACCATTTTTTTGGCTGCACTTACAAAATTTGAGTTATTAGATCACCTTAATGGTGTCTCTCCTGATGGTAGTGGGGGTCTGCAACTCTCTCTTCTTGGTCATCTTGGTTTAGGAGCCATAATCAGGAACCCTAATAAACCAAAATCTGGAGATCCAATTAAAGATACAAGAAGATTGATTGGCATATAAAATAATAACATTGAAATAAAATATTGTGTAAAAATAGGTTCTACGTGTTAAGAACTTCCTCACAGACCAGTGTATAAAACAATCATACAAATAAAACCATGCCAAGCACAGTGTAATCCCAGCCTTCCCGAAGTTAACGCCAGATGTGACTAAGGTGCTGGTCCATTCCATTGTCCTTTCTCGCCTTGACTACTGTAATCCGCTTCTCAGTGGTCTTACATGCTCCCAACTTGCACCGTTACAGTCCATACTGAATGCGGCGGCAAGGATCATCTTCCTGTCTGCCCGCACCACCTCACTCTTCTGTCAGTCCCTACATTGGCTCCCTGTAAGATATAGGGCTCAATTTAAAACTCTGGTTCTTGCTTTCAAATCCCTACATAATGCTGCTCTCACCTATCTATCCTCCCTAATACACAAGTATGTCCCGTCTAGGCCCTTATGCTCTGCTGAAGACTTATTTCTATCTTCTGTCTGTACTCCCACCTCTGATGCTCTCCTTCAAGACTTCTCGGGGGCTGCACCGTTCCTGTGGAACTCACTTCCCTCCTCTGTTAGATGTTCGCCCAGTCTCCACTCCTTCAAAAAATCATTAAAAACCCACTTCTTCATAAAAGCGTATTAATTAAACTGTTAATAGCTCCCGACTGATTCCTCTCTTGCAACTTTTTTGAAAATATATGACAATATATTCATAAATTGGTGCTTTTTCTGAAATACCAATTATACTTTTATATCAGCGATCAGTGCATGTGTATAACCTTTATACAGTTGTACTCAAAGGTTTCCATGCCCTGGCAGAATTTGTGATTTTTTTGGCATTGATTTTGAAAATATGAATGATCATGCAAAGAAATGTTTTTTTTTTTTATTGAAGGATAATGATCATATGAAGCCATTTATTATCACATAGTTGTTTTGCTCCTTTTTAAATAATGATAACAGAAATCACTCAAATAGCCCTGTTCAAAAGTTTATGTACCCTTGAATGTTTGGCCTTGTTACAGACACACAAGGTTACATACACAGGTTAAAATGTTAATTAAAGGTTAATTTCCCACACCTATGGCTTTTTAAATTGCAATTAGTGTCTGTGT